CCTGCACAATTAGGCGCTTCATTACCCTCCTGATTGCTAAAATATAGTGAGCTCGCATTATCATCCCTAGTTCCTATAGCTGTGACGATTGCGGTGACGTGGAGGTTCTGGTTCCAGCTTTCACCACTCGGTAATCCTATGAGCATTTAAACCGGTGCTCGGGAGGCGTGATCCTGGTCACCTAATCGGAATATTACCTCAAAGGTAATGAGAGCTCTCAAGAGATTAAAGCTGATCTGCCTACGGTGGTCGCAACGCAATTCTTTAGCAATATGATCTTTGGCAGTCCTGAAAAGGTGATGCCTGGCAAAGAAATCCCAGACCAAGGAAGGCATTAAAACAGTGGATTTATGTGAGATCGGGCTGCGGTAAGGGGTCCATTCAGGGGCGCCAACACTGTACTTCCTTCGGGTGGCCTGGCCTCCGAGCCGTGCCAGTAGCCTCAATCCCTTCTGTATATCGGCAATGAATGTTTTGTCCGAGTGTTATGTCTCCTTTCGGCCCCACAAAGGACTCAGAAAGCTAAACTGGTGGCGGTGGGGAGCGATTTCTACTGTTGGGTGGTAAAACTTAGCTGGACGTTAGAAGGGCTTGTGCTATGTGGGGGAATGTGGGACGACCCCTAATCGGAGGGCTGAAAATGGCGTCTACCTTCGGCATCCAGTCTAGTCTCGTGGTCAGCAGGAATGCTATAAACACTAGTCAAGTACCATCTGCAATAGTTTTGTTACGGATCTGTCTACGGTACCAATACTAAGATGCCAATAAGGTGAACATGTGATACCTCCTCCATTTCTCTACTGACCGGCTGGACAGCACCGAGGCGAGAGCAAGGTGGCAAGGAGGAATTGACGAGAAATCCTACCTGCACGGAGCTATTCTAAATCCCGTTTTTTGTTATGTGACTCTGCTTGTAATCCAGTGTTCGTAGGACTAGCTGTCGGCATGCGTGATGGTCAGCACACTACCTCGTCCCCCCAACAGAGTTCTTACTAAACACGACGAAATTCCACATACAGTGGGATTGACAAGAGTGATCAGTGGGATTGTGGTCAAGTATCCCCTCATCTGCAAGCAAATTTGATGACTGGCACAGTTGGCTGGTAAGTGTTTTCTTACAACACCGACTACACTGCGGTGGCCAAAACGGGAGGTTGAACAAGGGGAGTGCTGAGGACGATACTCAAAAAGGGGCAAGGCTATGTTCTACTTGGATAGTTTGTTTAACTCTTGGATTCGGTAACGAGGCACTTAGGAGCCTCGCCATTGTACCTCCTTTGGGCGGCGTGGCCTCCAAACCTCCTTTACTAGCACTGTAGGTAGAAGGAAAGTGCCTAAACGCTGCAAAACACATTCAACAAAGTCGCAGTCTATGAAAAGGGAGGGCAGAACAATCATGAGCATCTCG